TTGATAGTCCTTTATAATAAATTTCATGTCTCGGAGAAGCTCTGTCCCAATAGGATCCATGTTCTTCCAACCAGACCCCCATGATCAAAAGTGGAGCCCAAATCATGTTTCAAATTTCTTTTAGATCCAAATGTCCCAAATGTTCCAAAAGCTCCATCTTTCGCCTTGTGCGAATTTATAATCCATGGCTCTTCCGATCTCCCCATGGGGAGGTCTATGCAATCTTCCTTCTCAATTTCCAACCAAATTTTGATCATCCAGGTCTTATTTTCCTTATACTCCATTTTAGAAGGCCTATGATTGTCCTTATTCACCAGCAGCTTTTCAGCTCCTCCTTCTCGCTCCTCTGAAACAACACATTTTCCTTCTTGTTCAGCTGCAAAATTTTCTTGAGTCAAGTCCTTGGTACAGTCAGCAAGTTTATTTACTTTAAAATTCAAGGTCATAACATCTGTAGCCAAAGTTCCACTCTGTTCTTGTAGCTCTCCCACGAGAAAAAACATTCTCTCCAGATCTGCCTGTATTTTTCCATCTGCAGCCATTGTAGTGTCTCTGAACCCCCTCTAGAGGGATTCTAGTTACTTAGTGTTCTTTCTCCAACAGTCAAGTTACTTTGTTTTGTTTTATTTCTTCTTTATTTTCAGCGACTTAGAGCCAAATGTAACAAAAATAACCAGCAAAAATAACAACAGGGAAATTTTTCTAGCATTGACAGCTCGTTTGACAGCTGTCAAACTCCTTATGTCTCCACAGCCAACTCACTCACGGATCACTCCCGGATCCCGAGGGGTTACAAATCAGAAGACACAGTTCTTATTCTCTAACACTGTACTTATGTTTCCAAATCGTGGAATTAAGATCTTTTGTTTCACATAAAAAGGGAATAGTCTCTCAACCTTAGTTATCCAGTTCTTGCTTTGAAATGTCTACCAGAGGGGGGGGGCGGACTTCCTTTTATCACCCCCCCCGTTCGTGCCGAATTTCAAAAGAGAAGAAAAATTTTTAAAATCCAAATTCCGTATTACTCACGGGTTGTTACTTTTGCAGTCCGAATTTCAAGGAAAAAAGTCAGCGCTCTCCGGCCATGGCTTGCGGCTTCACTCCGTGGAAGTAGCGGTCTACTCACAGCACCACGCCACTCTCCGTCCCCCGCTCCGAAGCCTTTAAAAAGGCTTCTTCGCGGGTTGGGGGGACGCAAAAGGTGCCCGCCGAGTCACCAAGTCCACAGGCTTCCGCGCCTGTGGTTTTTGAGGGTCCCCGCGTCGCCGCCGTGACAGGACCCGTCCTCCACGGAGCCGATTCCCTCCGGAGCTCGGAGGGAATCCGCCATTAGCCCTCCGCGCTAACCCGGAAGTCCCCGCACCTGTGGTTTCTAAGGGTCCCCGCGTCACCGCCGCAGCAGGACCCGACCCCCCGCTGAGCCGATTCCCTCCGGAGCTCGGAGGGAATCCGCCATTAGACGATGGCGCTAACCCGGAAGTCCGAGTCTGTCTGTCTCAGCCGTGAGCAGAGTCTGTATGCAATCTCAGTCAAACTGTTTGGAACCATGTTATTTATGAAGAAGCTTATTTTAATTCAGTAAAGCTTTTATTCTTTAAAACTCTGCATTATTAATTTACGCTGCATGTCATCTTCCCAGTCAAAGGACCCCTTTTCAGGATAGACAGTGCCTGTGGCTGGAGGCTCTACACACCGGGTGTTCCTGTGGAGGCCAAAGACTGCCAGTATTAGCACAGGTGAGGTGTGTGACCTCCCCAAATTTACAGACTGTATATAAATGAGAAGTCGTGGGTGGGATTATATTTTACAGCAACCCTGGGATTTTCTCCACCCATAACATTTTGTGGGCTGATATAGCAGTACGAATTCCAAAATAACTTTAAAAAACCCCACAAGATCATCATCATCATCGCATTTATACCCCCAGGCCTTAGTTTGCCTCCCCATGATCTAGAGAAAACACCAGCTTTGAATCATACAGAGTAAAACTACCAGAACCTTCTTGAACCGATAGGTTAGGAATTATCGCTGTACTTAGATCCGTACTTTTCTATGCCTGAAAAATGCAACCATGACACTGGGAATGTTCAGGAATGCAGGAGAGGAAATATTGTTTGAGTATATCCTTTCCAACTTGTGTTAACAAGTTGTACAATTTAGCAGAGTAACATTCCCTCTTTTAAACTTACAGCGGATGCGTTTGCTCAGGCTCGCTAAAGCCTCTAAATTAAGTTTCCTTGGTAATTTCCACTTTAGTCCCTCATAAAAAGATAAGACACGACACAATCTTCTATAAAAGTATAAAAAGAGTTTACTCACACATTCTGTTCACAAATGGATCCCAGAAGGCGGTGACCCACAGGCTGCACACCTGGTCCTTCAGGGGCACAGTTACCCCATCAGGACCAGGAGTGCCCCCACCCTCCCCCAGGGACAGTATTTCTGACTTGTCAGGATTCAACCTCAATGTGTTAGCCGCCATCCATCCTCCAACCACCTCCAAACAGACACACAGGGCATTCACCATCTTCACTAGTTCCAATTTAAAAGAAAGGAAGAGCTGGGCATCATCCACATACTGGCGAACACCCAGCCCAAACCCCCTGATGATCTCTCCCAGTGGCTGCATATAGATAGTAAAAAGCATGGGGGAGAGAATGGAGTCCTGAGGCACCCCACAAGTAAGCATGCAGGGGTCTGAACACTCATCCCCCAACACCACTCTCTGGACATGGCCCAGGAGGAAGGAGGGGAACCACTGTACAGCTGTGCCCCCAGCTCCCCTAGAGGGTCCAGAAGGACACCATGGCCAAAGGTCTTCAAAGCCGCTGAGAGATCCAGCAGAACCAGGAAAGAGCTTCCCCCTCAACCTCTGGCCCGTTGGAGATCATCAACCAGCACAACCAGGGCAATTTCAGTCCCACAATGAGGCCTGAATCCCAATTGGAAAGATCATGGTAGCAGGAGCTTTCCTGGTCCTGCACCCCCAAAAGCTCCAGCCACAAGACTTTCATTAGCTTTGAAGGGGCCACGTGATACATTGTGGTCTTTTCTTCGAAAAACAAATATTTTGAATACTTTTACAGTGCCGTATGATGTAAATATGGGATCCGGGTGGCGCTGTGGGTTAAACCACAGAGTGTAGGACTTGCCAATCAGAAGGTCGGCGGTTCGAATCCCCGTGATGCGGTGAGCTCCCATTGCTCGGTCCCTGCTCCTGCCAACCTAGCAGTTCGAAAGCACGTCAAAGTGCAGGTAGATAAATAGGTACCACTCCGGCGGGAAGGTAAACGGCGTTTCCATGCGCTGCTCTGGTTCGCCAGAAGCGGCTTAGTCATGCTGGCCACATGACCCAGAAGCTGTATGCCTTTGGCTCCCTCGGCCAATAAAGCGAGATGAGCGCCGCAACCCCAGAGTCGGCCACGACTGGGCCTAATAGTCAGTGGTCTCTTTACCTTTACCTTTATGATGTAAATTTTGTTTCTGTTTCCCTTGTTCCACATCGGAGAGACTTTGATACACAGCTCTGAGCCCATCTCCCCACTTGAAACTGCTGTGTTTGTAGCACTGCCAGCCTGGGCAGTGGGTTTGGGGGTCCTGGGCTGCCTAGACAACCAGACCCCCTTCTCAGCCCGGCTGATATGGTCCCAAGGAAAGCAGAGCAGTATGTTTGGCACCAGCTTGGCTGCAGGAGTTGAATGAAGAAGGTGTGCAGGACACCATCCAACCATCTTAGAGACTCCACTCTGGATTTGTGTGGGTTTTCCTCCATAGCCTTTTCTTCTCCTGAACATAACTCACGAGGCAGTGAAGGTTTAGGACCAGAGTTTTCCTTCTCGATGGGCTTCCTTCCCCAGTTGACGATCCCATCGGCCCTTCACTTTCCTCTTCCGCACGGGCAGAATCTGCCTTCTAGACTGTGGGATTCACTGTTCTTCTCATCCTCTCCATCCACCAGGGCTTGACTTCAGGTGCAGCAGAATTGCCCAGCCCCCCAAGGATTTGAGACCCGTCAGCTATCCTCACCTGGTTTTGCCAGCCGGTTGAAGCCATTCCTGGGATTGTGGCCTCTGATTCATCCTGACAGCTTCTGGAAGGCACAGGTGAGAGCTGAGTGCAGGGTGGGGACCACCAAAGGTACTACCGCTCCCATGACACCTCATGACATCATATAATAGCTATATTTGAGACAGAAGCGGAATGAATTCATGTCTCTAGAAATAACACAACTTCAGGCCATCAATAATTCAACACTACATATTCAAGGTTGAAGTTTTCACTAGTACAGTTATCCATTTGCCTTTAATATGCAGCTTTTTCAGTGTCACTTTAGGATGGGCTCGAGATCAGGCAGCCCATCATTATTATAAGGAACAGTGGGGGTCTGGGATTCCGATGTGCCAGCTGCTTTCCTTCTGCTTCTCCTGCTGTCACCTTGCAATGTGAGGCATGTAGATGGAGGTCCATCTCCAAGAACAGGAGCTTCCCTGAGCACCCATTCAGCTGACCCCAAGCACCAAGCCTTGTCACTAGTTCTCTGACTGACCCAGACCACAGTCCCTGGAGAAGATGTAGACCTGGGCCTCCCGAAATGGTCCACATGGACCTCTTGTGGCCAATGAGACTGTGCAGGTGATTCATAAAGATCTAGAGGTGGATGCAGGATTATGATGCAGAAGATGGGGAATGTCCAAAGGAAAGATGAACCATGGAAAGAGAGGGCCTGTTCACGGACAGAGAGCAGCTGCCTTTCCTGTGAGGAAACAATTGATTTGAAAAGGCTGTATTCCAAGATCATGCTGCTTTATTAACAATGATTGAGGATTATGAAAGGTTGCTGCTGCATTACTATCATTTGATGACATTGCTTTTTCATTTCCAAAAAATTGGGAACATGGGTAGGAGGCAGGGGAATGTAGGAGATGTTGATATAAGAGAAGGGGCTAATGGCGCTTGATGTGCTCTCTTTCCCTTTGTTCTCTTCCTTGAAACCCAAACAGGATTTCCTTTCCTCCCACTCTGAAGAAGGTGATGGAGAAGACATTCAGAATTCCAAGGAATGGGGCACCTTTCGTTTCATTAGGAATAGAAATTAAAATGTGTGAAATGTGGGATATGCTTCATTGAATGAGGACACATAGCTCACATCAATGACTCCGAGAGGAGAAACCATTTAAAAGTATGGAGTGTGGGAAAAGTTTTGATGATAGTGGAAAACTTAGAACACATCAGCGGATTTACATGGACAAGAAAGGATTACAATGCAGGGAGTGTGGAAGAACTTCAGTCAGAGAGGATTCCTCAATATACATCAGCGGACTCACACAGGGGAAAAACCATTTAAATGCATGGAGTGCGGGAAAAGCTTCCATCAGAGTGGACACTTAAGTTCACATCTACGGACTCACACAGGGGAGAAACCATATAAATGTATAGAGTGCGGAAAGAGCTTTAGTGATAGTAGAGACCTTAGAAAACATCAACGGATTCACACAGGGGAGAAACCATATAAATGTATAGAGTGCGGAAAGAGCTTCAGGCTGAGTGGAGACCTTAGAAATCATCAACGGATTCACACGGGAGAAACCATTTCAATGTATGGAGTGTGGAAAAAGCTTCTGTCGGAGTGGACAGTTAAGTTCACACCTACGGATTCACACGGGTGAAAAACCTTTTAAATGCATGGAGTGTGGGAAGAGCTTCAGGCGGAATGCAGAACTTGAATTACACCAGCGAAGTCACACTGGTGAAAAACCATATAAATGTATGGAGTGTGGAAAGAGCTTCATTCAGAGTGGGCAGTGCAATATGCATCAACGGACTCACACAGGGGAGAAACCATATAAATGTATAGAGTGCGGAAAGAGCTTCAGTGATAGTGGAGACCTTAGAAAACATCAACGGATTCACACAGGGGAGAAACCATATAAATGTATAGAGTGCGGAAAGAGCTTCAGTCAGAGTGGAGACCTTAGAAAACATCAACGGATTCACACAGGGGAGAAACCATTTCAATGTATGGAGTGTGGAAAAAGCTTCTGTCGGAGTGGACACTTAAGTTCACATCAACGGACTCACACGGGTGAAAAACCATTTCAATGTATGGAGTGTGGAAAGAGCTTCAGTCGGAGTGGACACCTCAATAAACATCACCAGACTCACACAGGGGAGAAACCATATAAATGTATGGAGTGTGGAAAGAGCTTCCGTCGGAGTGGACACCTCAATAAACATCACCAGACTCACACAGGGGAGAAACCATATAAATGTATGGAGTGTGGAAAGAGCTTCAGTCAGAGTGACAGACTTAGAATACATCAACGGTCTCACACGGGTGAAAAACCATATAAATGTATGGAGTGTGGAAAGAGCTTCAGTCAGATTGGAAACCGCAATATGCATCAACGGACGCATACGGGAGAAACCTTTTAAATGTAGGGAGTGCGGAAAGAGCTTTAGTGATAGTGGAAACCTTAGAAAGCATCAACAGATTCACACAGGGGAGAAACCATATAAATGTATGGAGTGTGGAAAGAGCTTCAGTTTCGATGCAGGCCTTAGATCACATCAACGGACTCACACAGGCAGGGGGAAACCATATGAATGTATGGCATGCGGCAAGAGCTTCAGTCAAAAAGGAGACCTTAAATTACACCAGCAGACTCACAAAGGGGAGAATCCATTTAATGCATGGAATGTGGAAAGAGCTTCCGTTTCAATGCAAGCCTTAGAAGACATCAACTGGCTCACACAGGGGGAAAACCATTTAAATGCCATTGACCATTTGAGTGTGGAAAGAGCTTCATTCAGATTGGAAACCTTAGAAAACATCAACAGACTCATAAAGGGTGAAACCATTTAAATGCATTGAGTGCGGAAAGAGCTTCAGTCGAAGTGGAAACCTTAAAACACATCAACGGATTCACACAGGGGAGAAAACATTTAAATGTATGGAATGTGGAAAGAGCTTCAGTAAGAGTGGACACCGCAATATACATCAACGGACACACACAGGGGAGAAACCATAAGAATGCATGGAATGCGGAAAGAGCTTCAGTTTCTTTTCTTTTTATATATATATAATATTTATTAAGATTTTTGAAATATTACCGTAAAAATGAAAAAGAAAAAGAAAAATACAAAATAAAAACAGTTAAAAACACACCTATTTTCTATTACTTATTTTCCTTTAGCTTATTTCCCGGACCTCCTCATACCTCCCTTTTTTGTATTCCGCTTCAATTCATTGGTTCAGCAAATCCTTATCATTAGATTTTAACCCAATTATAACCCTTTTTTCATATTCTCTTAAAGCATTACAGCTGGGAACCCTTAATTGCTATCCAACATCATTCTATCATTCATTAATTTTACAATATTTCTGTAGATAGTCTTTAAATTTCTTCCAATCTTCTTCCACCGACTCTTCTCCCTGGTCTCGGATTCTGCTAGTCATTTCTGCCAGTTCCATATAGTCCATCACCTTCATCTGCCATTCTTCCAAAGTGGGTAGTTCTTGTGTCTTCCAATACTTTGCAATGAGTATTCTTGCTGCTGTTGTAGCGTACATAAAAAAGTTCTGTCCTTCTTTGACACCAATTGGCTGACAATGCCCAGAAGAAAGGCCTCTGGTTTCTTCAAGAAGGTATATTTAAATACCTTTTTCAGTTCATTATATATCATTTCCCAGAAGGCCTTAATCCTTGGGCACGTCCACCAAAGGTGAAAGAATGTACCTTCAGTTTCTTTACATTTCCAGCATTTATTATCGGGCAAATGATAGATTTTTGCAAGCTTGACTGGGGTCATGTACCACCTGTATATCATTTTCATAATATTCTCTCTTAGGGCATTACATGCCGTAAACGTCATACCTGTGGTCCATAACTGTTCCCAGTCAGCAAACATAATATTATGTCCAACATCTTGTGCCCATTTAATCATAGCAGATTTCACAGTTTCATCCTGAGTATTCCATTTCAACAGCAAGTTATACATCTTTGACAAAATCTTAGTTTTGGGTTCTAACAGTTCTGTTTCTAATTTTGATTTTTCTACCTGGAAGCCAATTTTCTTATCCAAATTATATGCCTCCATTATCTGATAATAACGAAGCCAGTCTCGCACTTTGTTTTTTAATTTCTCAAAACTCTGCAGTTTCAGTCTATCTCCTTCTTGTTCCAAAATTTCCCAATATTTCGGCCATTTGGCCTCCATATTGAGCCTTTTCAGAGCTTTCGCTTCCATCGGTGGGGTTTTATTTTCCAATAAATCCTTGTATCTTATCCAAACATTAAACAATGCTTTCCTGACAATATGATTTTTGAATGCTTTATGTGCTTTGACCTTATCATACCATAAATATGCATGCCATCCAAATACGTTGTTAAAGCCTTCTAGATCCAAAATGTCTGTATTTTCAAGAAGTAGCCATTCTTTCAACCAGCAAAAAGCTGCTGATTCATAGTAAAGTTTAAAGTCTGGCAGGGCAAATCCACCTCTTTCCTTTGCATCAGTTAATATCTTAAATTTTATTCTGGGCTTCTTGCCCTGCCAGACAAATCTAGAGATATCTCTCTGCCACTTCTTGAAACAGTCCATCTTGTCCACAATTTGCAATGTCTGAAACAAAAACAACATTCTAGGCAATACATTCATTTTTATCACAGCAATACGACGCAACAGTGAAAGCTTCAAATTTGACCAAATTTCTAAATCTTTTTTCACTTCTGTCCAACATGTTTCATAATTATCTTTAAATAAGTTCCCATTTTTGGCTGTCATATTAATCCCCAAGTATTTCACTTTCTTAACCACAGTCAGGCCTGTCTCATTCTGAAACCTCTCTCTTTCAATCGGTGTTAAATTTTTCTCTAAAACCTTAGTTTTTAGCTTGTTCAGTTTAAATCCTGCCACTTGACCAAATTCTTGAATTAATTCTAAAACCCTTTTAGTACTAGATTCTGGCTCCTGTAACGTCAATACTAAGTCATCTGCAAATGCTCTCAGTTTGTACTGTTTGGCTCCGACCTGTATACCTTTAACCAACCGGTCCCTTCTAATCATATTCAGCAGAACCTCCAGGACCGATATGAAAAGCAATGGAGAGATTGGGCACCCCTGTCGTGTCCCTTTTTCTATCTTAAATTCTTCCGTCACCACATTATTTACAATTAATTTAGCCTTTTGTTCTGAGTATATTGCACCTATACCATTTTCAAAACCTTGGCCTACCCCCATCCCCTGTAGGTTCTTCTTCATGACACTCCAAGAGATATTGTCAAAAGCTTTCTCTGCATCCACAAATATCAGAACTGCTTTAGTGTTTATATTCACTTCTAGTTTTTCCAAAATATCAATTATGTTCCTCAAATTATCAGACAAGTGTCTTCCCGGGAGAAAGCCGGCTTGGTCTTTATGAATCTCTTCCATCAATACAAAGAGCTTCAGTTTCAATGCAAGCCTTAGAAGACACCATGTGACTCTCACAGGGGAGAAACCATTGAAATGAATGAAGTGCGGAAAAAGCTTCAGTCAAAGGGGAAACCTTAGAAAACCTCAGCAGACACACAGGGAAGAAACCATTTAAATGTATGGAGTTTGGAAGGAGCTTCAGTCCAAGTGGAACCCTTGATTTACATCAACAAACTCCCACATGAGAGAAACCCTATAAATGTCAAGTAGACAGAGGTTCAGTCCTAGTGGAAGTCCTACATCTACAGACTCATGGACAGGAAGAACTTTAACAGTTGACACCCTACAAACCCATCAACCCTCAAAGAGGAGAAGCTGTTTAAAGGGAAAGATTGCAGAAAGTGCTTTAGTTATAATGGAGTGTTTAAGGAACATCTAAGGACTCAGAGGGGAGAACCCATTTAGATGTATGGAGTGTGGGACATGTTCCTTTCAGAGTCCACTCTTTTGTTCACAGCAATGAACTCAACTCAGCAGGAAATCCATCTTAAAAGCATGTCATGTATTTGAGGTTCTGCTGTTTATATGTAAAATTGTATAGTAATGAAATAATGAAGGTAACGTCTCACTCTAGTGAGTATAATTTTAGATGTAAGGTACCTTTTGATAGTGAGGTGGAGTTGGTGAATCTGGATTTCTGGTGGTGAGTGAGGATTAGGGCTGGGCGATCTATTAATCTCATCCTATACCGGTTTCTAGACCACATTGTGATAACTTTTCAAAAACAATTGATATGGCAACACACCACAGATCACAGTGTGTTTTTCTCGGATGCTCATTTGCCTGGAAGCAGCTGGCAGAAAGCTTTTCTTTGTGAAGCCCCTGCAGATGCTGAGTTCCCTCCCAGACGACAGTAAGCGAAAGACACACCTCCATTGCCCTGTGTCCTTCCAGCCTCTTTCCTCCCTTGCTCCCTTCTGCCGGTTTGTGTGCCTGACTTAGATATCCTGCATGCTGTATTTTTTTACTGCTGAAACTGGATTTGCTCTCAGGAGCTATGTTTTGTGCCTCACTGGGGACCCAATGAGAACTGTATGCTTTGAAAGCTCAGTAAACTATTACTGAAGAACTCCTGCTGCCTCTGTGTGTGTTTTTGACCTCAGTGTGGGACTTGCTCTGCACGTGGCCCCTACCCTGCTGCTACTTGGCCCATGCCCTGGAGTTGCTCTACTCAAGCATGCAAGACGGTTTTTGCACCAAACTCTGTCATCCCCCCACCGCATGATCTCCAAGCACTGCTTCTTCACCAGAAATTCATCCCTGCCTCCTAAGCATTCTGAAGAAAACTGATAATCCTGTAAGTTAATGGGTGATTTACCCCCAAGCCTAATTGCAAGAGGGGAACGGAGGGACTGCAGGGACCAGGGAAGTCTCCTGGGGGGCCCATCTTCACTCTTGAACCCCATGGGGCAACCCCAGAGCTCCTCCTTATTCTGGGGTTTGGGGAAGGTAGTATTTTTCCATAGTCCCAGAAGTTTTTATTCAGTCATGCTGCTAGGGAGTTTTCCTACCAGAGGCCCACAGTTTATACTGCTATCATACTGATTTTACTGTTGTTTCTGCTTTTGCTGTCATGGAACAGCTGGGTGTGTGGGGGGAGGCACCAGTTGGGGGACCTACAAGGGAAGAAGGCTTAGATCCTGGGGACTGGTGGGGGGATGGCGATGAGCAGATAGAGGGAGAAAGGGGAGCAGACCGGAAGGGGAGGTGTTGCAAGCTGAGGAGGAAACAGGGTTTGGTGAGCAGGAAGAGGCTGGGGCAGAGAGCAGTTCAGGCTCAGAGGGAGGAGATGAGGGGGCCAGGAGACCCAGAGGAGGCTGGCTGCTGAAGCATCCAGGGAGACTCCCCCTCCTGCGACCAGCTCCCCTCTCCCCTGGTCTCCCAGAGCACACAGAGAAATCCAGTTCAGATCCATGAGCCTGTACATTATATTAATGGGCGTAGGGTTTTTTTGTCCCAACATGCATCACTTTAATCTCATTGACAATGAATTGTATTTTCTGCCCATTCACCCCGTTTGGAGAGGTCCTTTTGGAGCTCCTGGCAATCTCTCTTTGTTTGAACAACCCTGGACAATTTGCTGCCATGAGCAAACTTTGCCCCCTCCCTGCTCCCTCCTAAGTCTAGATCATTTATGAACAAGTTGAAAAGCCACAGGTCCCAATACTGATCTTGAGGGGACTCCACTTTCTGCTCCTCTCCATTCAGAGAACTGTCCCTTTATTAGTACGTGTTCCCCCCTCCCTCCTTCCTTCTGCGCAGTGAAGGGAACCCTGCAGAAAAGTTCTGGGGTGAATTTTGCTTCCCCACACATCCAACACTGCTCAGCATTCAGGGAAATGGACGAGGAAAGCTGGCCACAATCCAAGAGACTGAGGTCAGCAGAAAGCGAAGCAAAGCCTACTCAAAGGGAAACCTCTTCAGCTTCTAGCCTTTCTGCTCCCACCATGGCTGAAGAATTGCCATTTCAGAACGGCACAGCTGAATGGAATCCCCACAATCGCTCCTGCTGGAGGAATAGGGGCATTGACCCCTATACTCAAAGGGGATGGCCAGTGATAAGGAAAATCCCGGGTTGAGAGGGCCCAGCTCGTCCCCCATGAGTCTGTGAGGTCAGTGAAAGAAGGAAGTTCCAGCCAAGTACAGTGGTACCTCGAATTACAAACAGCTCATGTTACAAACGCTTCAAGTTACAAACTCCGCTAACCTTGAAGAGTTACAGACCTCCGGAACAAATTAAGTTCGTAACTAGAGGTACCACTGTAATCTGGAGCAAACCAGCGATCAGTAGACCACGATCTTTATTGTTGCGCAACAGATTCCCACATAGAGCAAGAACCCCGAGCCTGAGGTGACATCAACCTTTTTAACTCCCCCCCCTCACCCAGAATACATTTCAAGTAGCATCTTCACTATGTTAACGGAAAATTCGAGGGTTCTCTTGGGCAAAGGAAGACACCGACCAGAGCAAGTTAGAGCAAAACAGCAGCCAGTAGGCCCGGTCTTTATTTAGAAAAGACTGTCGCGACAGGACTCCCACCGCCCACAAGGTGAAGCAAAATGGAAGCCCTGAACAATGGGAGACCCCAACTTTTATTAACCACTAATCCCCTTAACTACACCCCCAGAATTACATCATATTTACATCATGATTTTATTAAAGGACAGGAGGAGTCGAGGAGGAGCTACCCAGGTAATCCGAGTATCTTGACACCTGGCAGAGACCTCCTCTCTCCCCCCCACATGAGTCATTTCCAGGAGCAAAAGAAAGGGCGAAGTCTTCCTGCCCCCTGAGGGGAATCCGGTCAGGGTCCTTTGTTAGAGTCTGTATGGAATACACTACCGTATGCAGTTTATTGTTTTTCTGATAGCATTTCGTCTGAGTCCTTCCCGATGGTTATCAAGGTTGCCCCGCCATCCGGAGAAGGGCCGTTGTGTACGTGACCGCGCGGTTCCAGGATTATGGCCGATCAATCCCAGCTCACCCCCCTTTGATAGTCCTTGTAATATGCAGTGTAATAAAAGTGGTCCGGTGAAAATCCATGGTACGGCTGATTTTTGGTGAATTTGTGAAGAATACGGTCACTGAAGTTCAAAGTACTTTCCCTTTTCGGAAGCAACTTGCAACATTTTGATTAGATCAGTCACGGTCCATTGAACTCGGAAATAATGAATTGAGAACTGTCAAAAGGTGAGGGAGCAGGCGCTCGCAGCCTGCAGTACCAGCGTGGCCGCCACAAGGGGCGCTGTTCGACAATGCTGATTGGTTGAGGCGGTCGCCGTTTGACCTAGAGTTCGGTCGTCCGGTCTACTCTCAATAAGGATAGGGCGGCGTGGAGCACTAAAACAGAGAGCGGTCAAGCCAGCGCTTCCTTATTTACGGAAGGCTTTTAAGAGATGGCCCTCTAAAGGGACATCTCTAGGGTTAGGAAGGGGAGATACGTGTACGTGTGGATGCGGTGCTTGTGCAGTACATGTTACTGAAAGGGGGGGGGTGATTTCCGGCGACAACTAGTATGTCATAAGTGGGGAGGGGTATCAAAGGGTTACACAAGTTCAGCAGTTCGTCCTTCTATCAGATACATCTCCAGACACCTCTCAAGTACCCACCACCCAGAGAACAATTAAACTATCGACATACATCCTTGCGCTCAGGGCTTCTCCTGAGATGGGCTTTCAGAAGACCTGGCTTGGTCAGCTGCTTCTATGGAAGTCTGTTGTTGCCCCTTGGTCACTCCCTAGGTGGGGCGAAGTGTACGTGCTCTCATGCTCAGGGGATTATGGCAGGAGGCCCTGTTCTCACTGCCTACGTGACTATCCGCTTCCAGGGTCATGGAGGAGGGTGAAGCCTAAATTCACCTTAAAATGGCGTTGGAATGGGAAGAATTGGTTAAAGAATGGCTATTATATGAATTTGCAAAGTTAGGTATCTTTCCCTGAGCTGTCAAGCTGAAAGGATACATTCAGACACAATCTTTGTAACATTCTAGCAACTTTAGGCAATCGAAACCAAAATGGATACATTTCATATACGTTGCCCATAGTCTAAGCAGCAAGAGGGTGCTGAGACAACCGCGCAAAGGCTGAGCTGAATGGCTGGTTTGCAGAGAGTTTCAGCTGTCTACGGATTCCCCCATTGGCTAGGTGTCAAAACATAGCACTCTTGATTGGTGAGCTTCAGTTATTCATAAATCCCATTCATAAAACACAGAGTCCATAAATTCCATTCATAAAATGCAGAGACCGTGTTTTCCTGTATTTATACGATGTGTGTGTTGTTCTTGTGCGACTGAGGGGAGAGGGGTTTTGGACCCAGGGGATAATGTCAGATGGTAAACACATGCACCCTTGTAATTTCTGTGACACCAGGACAGAATTCCCCCACTCTGGTCACACGCAGCTGGGCTCACTTGCCAGAGCCACCTGGAGATCTTGATGGCAATAGCCATCATCCCTGACCACTGGTCTTGCTAGCTCAGGGTGATGGGAGCTGTAGTCCAAAAGCAGCTGGAGACCCAAGTTTGGGAAACCCTGTTCTCCCTGAAGGACAAAGGGGGTTCACTTGCATCAGAGCGTCAGGTGAGCCCTGCAGGATCAGGCCCAAGGGGCCCCTGTCCTCCCAGGGGCCAAGCAGGGGCCTCTTCTGATACATGTGTACCCAATTTAAAATACAAACACCAAGACATTGCACTGAAACTTTAAGTAAATGCGCATGCATGCACTTTCCAAGAGTCTCATTCGAGTAGAGTGCTTAAGAGTTTTGGACTAGGACCTGGGAGATCTGGGTTCAAATCTCCACTCAGTCATGAAGCTCACTGGGTGATGACTTCACAGCCTAACCTACCTCACAGGGTTGTTGTCAGGATGAAACGATGAGGGGGAGAATGACTTAAGACCACACTGAGCTTCTTGAAGAAACAGGTGGTATATCAAGGCATCCAATAAATTTCACTAAGCAGAAAGGTAAGATTCTGTACTTAGGCAAGAAGAATTAGCTGCAGAAATATAAGATGGGGGATACTGGGCTTACCAGTAGTACATGTGGAAAAGACCTGGGGTCTTAGACTAACATGAGTCAACAGTATGATTCAGCAGCAAAAAAGGCTGTTATTCTAGGCTGCGTCCAAAGAAGTCAAGTGTCCAGATCAAGAGAAGTAACAGCCCCACTTTCTTCTGCCTTCTTCAGACCACAGCTGGAGTCCTGTGTCCAGTTCTGGGTGCCCCAATTTAAGAAGGATTTTGACAAGCTGGAAGGTGTGCAGAGGGGGTTGACCAAGACAATTAAGCATTGGGAAACCAAGCCTTCTGAGGAACAGGAAGGGCTGTCAGGTGGAAGGTTGAACAAGCTTGTTTTCACCGGCTCTGGAGGCTGGGACCCAAACCAATGGCTTCAAATTATACACGCCCTTGGAAGGTTGTGGACTCTCCTTACTTGGAGGTTTGTAAGGAGAAGTTTGAAGGCAATGTGTCATGGAAGCTTTAGTTGATATGACCACAGGGTCTCCTGCAGGTCTAAAATTCTATGATTCTCCCCTGTATGAATTCTTTGATGGGCCATGAGCTTGGTCCTCTTACTGAAGCTCTTTTCACATTCCAAGCACTGATATGGTTTCTCACCACTGTGAATTATTTGATGGGAAATGAGACCAGAGCTCACAGTGAAGCCCTTCCCACATTGGGAGCACTGATATGGTTTCTCACCACTGTGAATTCTTGGGTGTGCCATGAGATTGGCATGGTGACTAAAGGTCTTTCCACATTCCAAGCACTGATATGGTTTCCCCCCTGTGTGAATTCTTTGGTGGGAAGTGAGATCGGCTCTCTGGAGGAAACTCTTTCCACAATCCAAGCATTGATAGGATTTCTCCCTGGTATGAATGCTTTGATGGGTAGCGAGATGGGCGCTTTTACAGAAGCTCTTTCCACGTTCCAAGCACTGTGAATTCTTTGGTGGGAAGTGAGATTGGCTCTATGGCAGTAACTCTTTCCACATTCCGAGCACTGATAGGGTTTCTCACCACTGTGAATTCTTTGATGGGAAATGAGACTTGCCTTCTGACTGAAGCTGTTTCCACAATTCACGCATTGATAGGGTTTCTCCCCAGTATGAATTCTTTGGTGGGAAGCGACACCGGAGCTCACAGTGAAACTCTTCCCACATTCTGAGCACTGAAAGGGTTTCTCACCACTGTGAATCCTTTGATGGGCCGTGAGATTCGCCCTGTGATTAAAGCTCTTCCCACATTCCGAGCACTGATAGGGTTTCTCACCTGTATGAATTATTTGATGGGCTGTGAGATGGGTGCTCTGACTGAAGCTCTTTCCACACACTCGGCATTGAAATGGCTTCTCCCCCCTGTGAATTCTCTGTTGTTTATGGAAGGTTGTGCTTGTATTAAAGCTTTCCCTACAATCCAAGCCCTGATAGGGTTTCTCCCTGCTGTGAGTTATTTGATGTGAAATGAGATGTGCACTGTTACTGAAGCTCTTTCCACATTCCAAGTATTTCAGTGGGTCCTCCCCTGTGGGAATTATTTCCTGTGAAGTGAGGCTTTCATTCCAACAGAAAGTTTCCCGCCATTCAGAGAACTGAGAGGGTTTCTTCCCAATAGCATTTCTTTGGTGGGTAGTCGAATGGGAGCTGTGACTGAAGCTCTCTCCACACTCCAAGAGTGGCAATGGCTTCTCCACTGTGTGGATTCTGTCATGGGCGTCCTCTTTCTCAATTTCCAAATCATCACCACCTGCAATGAAGAAAGAAATGGATTAGAGCTGCAGGAAGAAATGGAGTGCCACTGTATTTAATATTGATCTCTAACCCTTGTGATAGAGGAAGAATTCCATGCATCAACATTGCTGACCACACACTAGAGGTGGTCAGTGTTAGAAACAGAGATAGGACAGCTAGGACATAAAGAGGACCTTAAACCTAGGTTATGGGCTCAAAAATGGAATGTCCATATGCACTCTCTTATGACAAAAATACAAAGCCGAAAAGGAATGAACAGCAGCTAAAATAATATGCTCATTTTTCACATGGTCTAGTCCTTCCCCTGCCCACCCCCCTGATTTTTAAAGAAGGTCTCTCCTTCAGTCTTCAAAGAGTAGCTGGAAGTGGAGAGGAAGAAAAAGGTCCTCCTTTCCTTCCACTCTGCAGTTTTAATCCGCAATCTTAGGTTCTGCCAGCAGAGCTCGGAAACTGCTCGTGTCTATGACATTCCCTGTTGCAAAATGTGCCTAGAACCATGCGAGTTTCAGACAGTGGAGGTGGTGGATGATTGTGTCTACCTAAGAAACCAACAACCTGACAAATACCCCTTCCTCTTGCTTCATGTGGGAACCAATGACACTGCAAGCAATAGCCTCCAGAAGATCAAAAGAGATTATGAGGCTCTGGGCAGGAAATTGAAGCAATTAAATGCACAAATTGTCATCTCATCTGTCCTCCCAGTTGAACGACGTGGCCCAGGGAGAGAGGGAAAAATAGTGGAAGTGAACAGCTGGCTTCGCAAATGGTGTAAACAGGAACGGTTTAGATTCTTAGATCACGGACTGCAGTTTCTTGAAGATGGACTTCTGGCAAGCGATGGGCTGCACCTCACAACGGTTGGGAGGAATGTTTTTGCAAAAAATCTCAGAAACCTCATCAGGAGGGCTTTAAACTGACTAATGTGGGGGAGGGAGACAGTGCTCCTGAAGGTAGGAGTCTATCAATTGATGAAGATGATCATCCAAATGTCATAGACCGAATGGAGCAAACAGCACGCAGACCTAGTGGTGGGAGGAAAAAATCCTTAAATAAGAGACACGGGGGAATGATTAATGTACTTCAATGTCTGTACACTAATGCGCAAAGCATGGGAAATAAACAAGATGAGCTTGAGCTCTTGGTACAGCAAACTAAATATGACATAATAGGCATCACTGAAACCTGGTGGGATAAGTCCCATGATTGGAATGTAAAAATGGAGGGATACAATCTATTTCAGAGAAACAGACCAGACAAGAAAGGAGGAGGAGTGGCGTTATATGTCAGGGATGTGTATACCTGTGAAGAGATCCAAGATTTAGAACCTCAAAGCCAAAGTGAGAGCATTTGGGTCAAAATTTAAGGAGAGAAGAATAACAGGGACCTCATTGTGGGAGTTTACTATAGATCCCCAAGCCAATCGGAGGACATAGATGATGCCTTCCTGGAACAGATGGCCAAGCATGCAAAAGGAAGGGAGATAGTAGTAATGGGGGACTTCAATTACCCGGATATTTGTTGGATGTCAAACTCAGCCAAGAGCATAAGGTCAAACAGATTCCTCACTGGACTTGCAGTCAACTTCATTGTCCAGAAAGTGGGAGAAGCAACAAGAGGAACAGCCATTTTAGATCTGGTCCTAACCAATGTTGATGACCTGGTTAGTGGGGTAGAAGTGGAAGGATCATTAGGCACGAGTGATCATGCTCTTCTGAAGTTTACTATACAGCGGAAAGGAGCAGCCAAGCATACTAGGACTCAATTTCTTGACTTTAAGAAAGCCGACTTCATAAAACTTAGGGAAGTGCTGGGTGAGATCCCATGGACAGTAATACTAAAAGGAAAGGGAGTTCATGATGGCTGGGAGTTTGTTAAGAGGGAGATAGTAAAAGCACAACTTCAGGCAATACCAATGAGACGGAAACATGGAAGGTGCCTAAAGAAGCCAGGGTGGCTATCTAAAGAACTTTTAACTGAGTTAAGATTAAAAAAGGATGTGTACAAAAAATGGAAAAGGGGGGAAACCACCAAAGAAGAATTCAAACAAATAGCCAGCACGTGTAGACACAAAGTCAGAAAAGCTAAAGCACAGAATGAACTCAGGCTTGCTAGAGAGGTTAAAAGCAACAAAAAAGGCTTTTATGGGTATGTTCGTAGCAAAAGGAAGAACAAAGAAACAGTGGGGTCACTCAGAGGAGAAGATGGTGAAATGCAAACAGGGGACACAGAAAGGGCTGAACTCCTCAATGCCTTCTTTGCCTCAGTCTTCTCCGATAAAGAAAACAATGCCCGACCTGAAGAATTTGGAGCAAATGATTCAGCAGAGGAAACACAGCCCAGAATAACTAAGGAGATAGTACAAGAATACTTGGCTAGTTTAGATGTATTCAAGTCTCCAGGGCCAGATGAACTGCATCCAAGAGTATTAAAAGAACTGGCAGATGTGATCTCAGAACCACTGGCAGTCATCTTTGAGAATTCCTGGAGAACAGGCGAAGTCCCAGCAGACTGGAGGAGGGCAAATGTTGTACCTATTTTCAAAAAGGGGAAAAGAGAGGACCCAAATAATTATGACCCAGTGAGTCTGACATCAATACCAGGGAAGATTCTGGAGCAGATCATTAAGCAAACAGTCTGTGAGCACCTAGAAAGGAATGCTGTGATCACCAATAGTCAGCATGGATTTCTGAAAAATAAGTCATGTCAGACTAACCTGATCTCGTTTTTTGACAGAATTACAAGCCTGGTAGATGAAGGGAACGCAGTGGATGTAGCCTACCTTGATTTCAGCAAGGCATTTGGCAAGGTGCCCCATGATATTCTTGTAAAGAAGCTGGTAAAATGCGGTCTTGACTATGCTACCACTCAGTGGATTTGTAACTGGCTGACTGACCGAACCCAAAGGGTGCTCATCAATGGTTCCTCTTCATCCTGGAGAAGAGTGACTAGTGGGGTGCCACAGGGTTCTGTCTTGGGCCCGGTCTTATTCAACATCTTATCAACGACTTGGATGATGGACTCAAGGGCATCCTGATCAAATTTGCAGATGACACCAAACTGGGGGGTGGGCGGTGGCTAACACCCCAGAGGACAGGATCACACTTCAAAACGACCTTGACAGATTAGAGAACTGGGCCAAAACAAACAAGATGAATTTTAACAGGGAGAAATGTAAAGTATTGCACTTGGGCAAAAAAAAATGAGAGGCACAAATACAAGATGGGTGACACCTGGCTTGACAGCAGTACATGTGAAAAGGATCTAGGAGTCTTGGTTGACCACAAACTTGACATGAGCCAACAGTGTGACGCGGCAGCTAAAAAAGCCAATGCAATTCTGGGCTGCATCAATAGGAGTACAGCATCTAGATCAAGGGAAGTAATAGTGCCACTGTATTCTGCTCTGGTCAGACCTCACCTGGAGTACTGTGTCCAGTTCTGGGCACCACAATTCAAGAAGGACACTGACAAACTGGAATGTGTCCAGAGGAGGGCAACCAAAATGGTCAAAGGCCTGGAAACGATGCCTTATGAGGAACGGCTAAGGGAGCTGGGCATGTTTAGCCTGGAGAAGAGGAGGTTAAGGGGTGATATGATAGCCATGTTCAAATATATAAAAGGATGTCACATAGAGGAGGGAGAAAGGTTGTTTTCTGCTGCTCCAGAGAAGCGGACACGGAGCAATGGATCCAAACTACAAGAAAGAAGATTCCACCTAAACATTAGGAAGAACTTCCTGACAGTAAGAGCTGTTCGACAGTGGAATTTGCTGCCAAGGAGTGTGGTGGAGTCTCCTTCTTTGGAGGTCTTTAAGCAGAGGCTTGACAGTCATATGTCAGGAGTGCTCTGATGGTGTTTCCTGCTTGGCAGGGGGTTGGACTCGATGGCCCTTGTGGTCTCTTCCAACTCTATGATTCTATGATTCTATGATTCTAACCTCTTCGTTGATGCTGACCTGGACAAGTGTACTGGTGAGGCAGTTACGGCAATGGCTCACCTCTCCAAAAGAGTATGGGCGAATGGGATGCTTACCGTTCAATACCAAGATGAAGGTCTATCAGGATTGTGTGTTGAGCAAGCTGCTTTGTGAAGTGAGTCATGGACAATTACAACCATCAGAAACAACCCCTCAATGCCTTCCACAAGCTCTGTGTCAAGAAGATTTTGGGCAATACAAGGCAGGACAGTGTCAAACAAAGATGTGCTTTCTTAACCTCAGATTCCCAGCATGTTCCCATTCCATTTTCAGCAAGGTCTATGCTGGCTTGATCATGTCCATGGTCAAAACAGTTGATAGCCCTCCATTTAAGGTGAGTTTAAGGGGTATTAGAATCCCAAATGCTGCAAGTGGCCCTGTAGAGCTCCCTCAAAACCAGGGAGGCTTATCACAGAGAGATATGCATGGAATTTCCAAAGAGAGATTAGGATCCACAAGGGAGCCTTACTGAGAGAGGCCACGATCCCATGATTCTCCTCCATGACTTCCTTATGCAGAGCTCTCTGGTCTGGATCCAGCAACGCCCATTCCTCATCTGTGAAATGAACAGCAACATCTTCAAAGCACACTGGACCCTAAGAGAGAAATGATGAGGTCCTGCTGCACGTTTTAATTGTGGGTGCTGCTTTTAATGTCTTAGTGGAATTCTTTTCTTGTGTGATTTAGTGATGGACATTAATCTCTGTGTAAATGGGTAGAACTCTACATTGTGTTCTGAAAATCCTTCTGTCTGTGCCAGATGGAAGGATCCCCTCTCTGCTCCCCATGTGCTGTTCTTGGGGGGGGGGGGAGACCCTTCTGATGCCCTAAAGACAACTTCAAGAAGTGCACTGGGGGAATGGAGGGAGGAGAAGGTGGGGAAACCCCATTGTGCAACTGATGCGACAAGATAGGTGATTCCTGGGAACTATTTTTGAGGCTTGATGAACTGCTTAGAAGCCTATCATAGCATTCAATGATAACTCTAGAAATAAAACGACAATGACTTATGAATGATCTTATTGACCTTCTGAAGGTGAGTTACGGCAAAGTGGCTGTTCCTTATTCTCAGCACATTAAGCTTCTCGAATGGCATTCCCAGCCTCTTGGCTTCTGTCTAGGCTGCCCTTGACAAAGATGCCTTCAGAGAAGCTTGGACAGAAGCCAAGAGGAGGAGAGACATTCCTTGGGGGCCAGAGGCACCCTGGCTGCCCCACCCCTCAGCCCCCTTCCCCACAGGGCTCCCTCCCTCTACCTGGGCTGCTTCCACAGCCATTTTTTCTCCTTAACCACCAGGAATAGATGGAAGAGGAGGTCTTGCTGGCATCATCTGGTCACCTGCAAGAGACAGAGGTAATTGGGAAACCAGGAGTGCAGCTGCTCCCAAAAAGGTCTCACCTTCTGAGTGCATCTGGACATTTGGACCCATTTTATAATTTATTTGGGTTAAAAAATACATCTCCCTCCTTGGTGCTCTTGGTGTCTTCCTCCCTCCCCCCCAAAAAAATATATATCAAGAACCCATGGATTTGTTTTGATATCCACAGAAAGGGACCAAACGGAGAACGGACTCCTTCCTTACCCAGCAGCCTCTCTCTGGTGTCCAATGGAGTCCTTTTGGTCTCAGAGGAATCTGGGCCCATTTCTGCAAACAGATCCTGTCTCTAAAATAGCAACAAAGATTCAAAACAGAGAATATGAAGAAGAGTTAGAAAAGGAATGACAGAGGCAAAAACTGAAGGGCAATCTGATAATATTCAATGGCTGCTTTCCAAAAAAAGGATGGTATATTAATAGTGATTTTTCAGATATTGTCACTCAAGTTCGGAGCCCCTTTGGAGTATCCAGAGGAAAGTCTCTCTCACCTGCTTTCTCTCTGCCTGCTTTCTCTCCTCTGCCTGACTCAGGAGGAAACCTTCGGCCAGCGCCACTGCCTGGGTACTGGTCTCTGTTCCGCATTCCCTCACCCAGTTCTCCATCTCCAGTGGAAGGACAGCCAGGAACTGCTCCAAGATCACCAGGTCCAGCATCTCAGCTTTTGTGTGCCTTTCTGGCTTCAGCCATTGATGGTAAAGGTTGTAGAGTCGGCTGCAAACCTCTCGAGGTCCTTTGGCCTCCTGGAAGCAGAACTACCTGAACTGCTGGCTCTGCACCTCTGAGCAAAGGGTGTCCTCCTCACCCAGGATCTTCTGCACAGTTTTTTCCCAGAATCCCCCACTGCTCCCAGTTCTGATGGCATGGTCTCTTCCTGCTTCAGGGCCAGCTGAGTTTTCCTCATCCATCTGTGCTCTCAGGAAGCCTCCAAGAGAGATGAAGGAATCCCTTGATCTTCTGCCAAGTTCTGTCTGTCGGAATCAGAGGTGCTAGGAAATTCTACAAACCGAATACATCGTTCTGTTACAAAACTGACATATTGCCTGGAAGAGGAAAATGTTCTGTGAGGAAGCATGTATGAGTCTTGAAAGAGCCAGCTCTGGACTCCACCACAACTCAGACTCTTGAGGTTTCTTTAGAAAGGAGAAAGAAAATGTATTTTTTGCTCCATAAGATGCACCTGACTATAAGGCACACCTAGTTTTTAGAAGGGGAATGCAAGAAAAAAAAAAATTTTTAAAGGGAGTACTGAGCAGAGCCTGTATGGATCCCAGGCTCTGCTCAGCGCTCCCTTTCACGAGCCGCGTGGAGCGTGTGTGTGGTGCTTGCAGGCTTTTCCCCAGGAGGGAGAAGCCCCCAAGAGCCCCGCACACATGCTCCACGCGGCTAGTGAAAGGGAGTGTGGCTCTTGGGAGCTTCTCCAGGAGGTGGGGGAAGGGACTGAGGGGCAGCCCCTCAGTCCCTTCCCCCACCTCCCACAAAAGCCAGCAAGAGCCGCACGCTCTTTAAAGGGTGCACGGCTCCTGCGGGCTTTTCTACGAGGAGGGAGAAGGAACTGACTGGCCGCGTCAGTTCCTCCTCCCTCCTCTGGGAAAAGCTTGCAAGAGCCGCGCGGAGCATATGTGCAGCTCTTGGGGGTGTTTTCTGCCTGCCTCCCGCCTGCATTCCCTCCATAAGACGCACACACATTTCCCCTTTTTAGGAGGGAAAAAGTGTGTCTTATGGAGAGACAAATACAGTAAGTCTCCAACCTTCCTAGAGGGAAAGTGACAATGCAAAATGTGCAGGGAACTGCTGGTCTTTCTGAGAGATGAATCAGCCTGGTTGCTCCTGCCTTTCAGAGTTTTCAGTTAAGGAATGAAGTCAGAACTGTGATTGACAAGTGACTCATTTGTACTGAGTGTTATCTGAGCATTGGGTTATAGTGGGGGTCCTAACTCAGGGTTCCTCAAGAGTTGCTCTCCTGCTCAGCCCCATTCAGTGCACATTTATTCCCTTATCTGGCTAACTCCTGAGGGCCAAATGACATGTGGGTGGGGTCAAAGGACAACAACACTCAAAAGCAAATGAAGTGGGACTCGCCTTTCTATGCGTGTAATGTGTTTTCAACTGTTCTTATTGCTGTTTTTTAAATTTTGTAATCTGCTCGTGGAAATTCGGGTGATGGGCAGGGAACAAGCAATAAGGATGATGATGTTACATTGCTTAACATGCCCCCTCCCCAGTCATGAATACTTGAGGACACTCCTGGGTCCATCATGGTCGCTTGAGGCCCATGTCCAGCTCAGGCTAGTTCCCCACCCCACAGACCTTTCGGGACAGAGAGGACATGGCCCTGGTCCTCCCTGCTCTGCACCAGATGGGATGGTTGCAACGCTCTCTGTGTGGAACTGCCTTGAAGGCGACTCGGGAACTGGCCCAAAATGCAACAGCCAGATGATTGGCTGGGCTGCCTCTCTTTATGAATGGCATTTCTCTCCCACCTCTTTCCCCAAGATCAAGGCGGCATCCATGGGTCTACCCCTCTCCACTGAGTCCCCCCACAACAAACACATTGGATTCCTTTTTTTAAAACAGTTGCACTGGTTGTTTCCTTTCCAGCAGGAACCTCTCCTGCTCTCAGTGCCTTGGCTTGTGAGACCTCCAGTGGTGCTTTCATAGAACGATAGAGGTGGAAGGCACCCCAAGGATCATCTAGCTCAACCCCAAGCAATCTCAGAGGACACACTTGCATCTGGAGGAACTAAGCACTGGAGGAGAAAATGAGCCCTGCAGGATCAGGCCATAGGGCTGCCCCATAGAGCAGAGGAACCCCCCCCCAATCGCCCTCTCCTCCTCCTCCACGGATTGGTCTCCTCCTCTTTTAACGCCACCTTGATTGGTGGCCTCCCTGGCTCTTGTGGGAGGCAGTTCCACAGGTTTTACTCTGCCCTGCAAGAGGAAGCGCTTTCTCTTCTCTGCCGCCCTTCCTTCCTTCCTTCCTTCCTTCCTTCCTTCCTTCCTTCCTTCCTTCCTTCCTTCCTTGCACAGGTGAGGTTTTAGGGACCAGGGTATATTTCATGTCTGAATGTTTCCATCCGCGGCCAACCTCTGTCATAAAAGGGGACTGATCCATACATCTGAATGGACCCAAGGGGCCAGCAGCGCATCCATGCAAAGGAAGAGCAGACCTGCCGCCCTCCTGCGACCCTGACTTGCCCCCCTTTCGCCATGCAGCGCTGGGACCCCCGCTCTCCCCATGGGCCCTATCCTGGGAGAGAGGAGACTCACCGGATCCCAACAGGCGCCCCCCCCAGGCAGCCTCTGCAGAGCCGAACCAACGGGACCCCCACACGCCCGACTTCTTGCAGGAAAGGGAGGGGTTGGGCTTTCGCTCTGGAGGACCCTGCCCCCTCCCGTCTTACTTTCCTGTCTAGGAATCTAGCTCGTTTCTGTTTAGCCCTTGGCAAGAAGAGCACACCCAACTCACGACTCTCCCTCTCCCGAGAGCAGGAGCATCGCGTACCAATGGCATCCCGAGAAGGCAGAGTAGGAGAGGTTTATGGATTATTTCCGGCAACGGATACATTCAGTTTTGGACAGCAGCTGAACAGCTGGCCCCTGAACACGGGTCCTAAGAAATCTTCACTGGCTCCCGGTCCATTTCCGAGCACCATTCAAAGTGCTGGCGCTGACCTTGAAAGCCCCAAATGGTCTCAGCCCAGTAGAAGGGGAGGAGCGCCTCCACGTCCATCGCTCAGCCCGGACACTGAGGTCCAGCTCCGAGGGTCTTCTGGCAGGTCCCTCATTGCGAGAAGTGAGGTTACAGAGGGCCTTCTCGGTTGTCGTGACTGCCCTGTGGAACACCCTCCCACCAGATGTCAAGGAGACAAACCTCCGTAGATGCCTAAAAGCAGCTCCGTATCGGGAAGCTTTTAATACAGTATTTCATGTTGGGTCATGTTTTCTTCTATTCTTTTGGAAGCTGCCCAGAGACAATGTTCTTGTTCTTGTTGTACATGTTGTTGTCGTTGGACATACAGCTTTTCATAGCCAACAACACAGAGATAAAGGGCTGCTTCGTGTGGGCTTATGGTTCTGGTGCTTGTGGATTTCATGGGATTTACAGTAATGTCATGCCATTATAAATGCATGGGGATAAGTGCATTTACACAGACACATTTCCGCAAAAAGACCCAAACTCCAGCATGTAGCCACAGGTGATACAATAGGAGCCGTTCTGCAAATGGCCTTTGCAACACAACTCACTGGGTGGTAACAAAGTATACACACTTGCCTCTTTACAACGTAGCCCCGTTTCCTCAATGAATCCACCCATTTCTTGATGAAATGTAACTTCTGCCAGGAAAAGCTGAGCTGAAATAGTAAGGAGAGCAAAACAGCAGCCCTGTCTGACCCCCGTCACGTGGCAGGAGATTCTTCCTGAGGGCCCCCCCCACCTGAGATGGGTATGACATCATGGATGATCCATATGATCCATTGGTGATCCCCACTGATACGGAATGGGGGGGCATGTCTTCTTCACCTTCTTCTTCGCTACAATATATCCATTTATTTCCAATTGTCAATGTCAAAAGGGACTAAAATCTATAAAATTCATAGAAAATCAACGTGCCAATTTGCTCTATTTCTCTAGGACTCCATGACACCTCCCCTGTCCTCCATAATCCCTCAAGCAAGGTGTCAAGACCCTAATCCTGTCAAATCACTCTGCCAAGCCTTTCCTCCGGGCAATGCCAGTACATGGACCATTGTCTATTCATCACCGGTATTCAGGATGCGCTTATCTGCGCATATCTCCAGCTCTGCATATTCCCCCCTCCCTCCTCCATATGTTGTTGTTGTTTAGTCGTTTAGTCGTGTCCGACTCTTCGTGACCCCATGGACCAGAGCACGCCAGGCACCTCTGTCCTCCACTACCTCCCGCAGTTTGGTGAAACTCATGCTGGTAACTTCGAAAACACTGTCCAACCATCTCGTCCTCTGTCGCCCCCTTCTCCTTGTGCCCTCCATCTTTCCCAGCATCAGTGTCTTCTCCAGGGAGTCTTCTCTTCTCATGAGGTGGCCAAAGTACTGGAGCCTCAGCTTCACGATCTGTCCTTCCAGTGAGCACTCAGGGCTGATTTCCTTAAGAATGGATGCGTTTGATCTTCTTGCAGTCCATGGGACTCTCAAGAGTCTTCTCCAGCACCATAATTCAAAAGCATCAATTCTTCGGCGATCAGCCTTCTTTATTGTCCAGCTCTCACTTCCATACATCACTACTGGGAAAACCATGGCTTTAAGTATACGGACCTTTGTTGGCAAGGTGATGTCTCTACTTCTCAAGATGCTGTCTAGGCCTGTCATTGCCCTTCTCCCAAGAAGCAGGCGTCTTTTAATTTCGTGGCTGCTGTCACCATCTGCAGTGATCATGGAGCCCAAGAAAGTAAAATCTCTCACTGCCTCCATTTCTTCCCCTTCTATTTGCCAGGAGGTGATGGGACCAGTGGCCATGATCTTCGTTTTTTTGATGTTGAGCTTCAGACCATGTTTTGCGCTCTCCTCTTTCACCCTCATTAAAAGATTCTTTAATTCCTCCTCACTTTCTGCCATCAAGGTTGTGTCATCTGCATATCTGAGGTTGTTGATATTTCTTCCGGCAATCTTAATTCCA